CAAACTAAAAAGTCGTATTATTATCCCCTTGGACGCCCACAGACAAACTTAGATATATTTTAGTGTGCTGGATTATTTAATTGTCTTTCAAGTTGATATTGCCCTGTTAATAAGAAATGGTTATTAATTTTAATTATTTATTTATTTAAAAGTGACAATATCAAAAAAGTTAATCATTGGGATAGCATAAACCTAAATCCATATACTAAAAGTAATGATTCACATTAATGCACAATAAAAATGTGATTTAAAAGTGAAATTAGATCACAAAATTTATATAGACCTATAAAAATTCGAATTATTGATATAACCAAAATGTAATTCTAATAGATTCACATAAAAACATTTTGAATAGTATTCCCTACTGTTGGCCATCAGTGTTCTGTCTCAGAGAATCGAAACTTTATGAGACCTTTTTGCGGTTTTATGGCAGTTGTATCAGTCTATAAAAGAACAAGACAACCAGCCAATTAAATCAAGAGTATGACAACCATAAAAATAAATGGACGTGACAGACATAGAGGGTCATAATGTTTATTTGCAATATTACCAGATGACATGAGAATCTTTTTTTTTTCAATTTATTTTGTCATCAATCTATCTTGATTCCAATTCATATTGTGGATATTATGAAATTCTTCAGATATTTTATTAAGGTTAAACTAAACAGAATTACTTTTATAAAAATAAAGATAAGTGAAATACAGATATATGTAATATCGTAATTTCACTCCTAATTTAATAGTTTTGACTTTTTTACTAGAAAATATTTGAATAATAAATAAAAATCCTCTCCCTGTGTCTTTATTGCAACCAGAGGAAGGTATACTGGTCAGGTTAAAGTCGTGTGTTTAGATTGTCTCTTTGGTTCTTTGTCTTGTGGTTCATGCAACAGCGTGTACAGTGTTTTGTGTGTGAGCTTTGTTATCTAGAGTATTACGGCTGTTTTAAAACCACAATTTAAAACCACCCTACCACCAAATCAAGCCTTGGAAATAGCCTTGATCCTCTAGTATTTTTCATGTCTTTTCCTGGCTAGTTAAAAGACTCCAAAGTTATATTTACAACTTTATTATAATTATAACTTTATAATCATAACTTTATTTTTTTAAAGGGAACGAGAATAGCCCATCAGTATATTTCTAAAAAGCATTTTTTAGGAATAATTAGGTACCACATACTTAGTATTTCGAGTCAAATAGATTGAAATTTAACACTAGATTGAAATTTAAAGTAATATTTGTTTAAGCAAAAATGTCAAAAATTCTATTTAGAATTCCATTTTCTATCAATTAAAGTAGAAAAATACCGAGAGAACCATTTAAAAGTCAAAAGGTCTAGTCCTTTCCGGCAAACAGGAAATGACCGAAATTAATTGAACACTTTAATTAAGCCTGATATTTCTGTACTAACAATTTATGTACTAACATACCAAATCTTGTTTTTTTAATCTGAAAAAATAAAAAAATTATAGGGGTGAGTCACTTTTGAAAAAACACGCGATATATTTAGATATAACAATCTAGAAAAAATGATTTATTATATTATCATTTCTCAGTCAGTTTTATAATGATTGGTTGATTGGCAGTAAGTTTAAAAAATGAATTCCTGTATGACGTACCATTTCTCTACTCTTAGGTACTCTTAAGTTAGTAAGTACTAACTTATACAAAATCTTGCAGCGCTTTCAGATGGAGCGGAACGTACGCGCGGAGTGTCCGCGCGTATGTTTTTTCAATATAGCTCATCCGGACGGAGCATACACGACCCATGTGAAATCGTTCATATAAACGCATGGTACTTGAAAACGCTGTTAAGCCGCGTATAAATATGCCGAGGCAAGTACGAGACAAACCCGAAACGAGTATGAAACGAGGCTATAGCAAATTCTTTCCAAAAGGCGTACTAATATGCCGAGACGAGGACGAGACGAGTCAACCTCAAGCGGAATTCGTCATATTATAGCCTCGAGCCGAGCGATTTAGCCTCGAGCAGAGTCCCTGCCCAGTCGAACGACGTTGTCTCGCGGCTATCCATTTTCAGTGGAGCCTTTGGCGAACCCACAAAATTCTTCATAGGGCTATGCGATACTGAGGCAGTATCGATATTTTGGTATCGGTTGTATTGAATATAAAGTATCGATACTTTAAAATATTGATAAATATCTTAAAGTATTATTCGATACCATTCAATATTTTAAAAAATTAATTAATAAATTTAAGTATACTGTGTTTTTTAATTGGATTAGGATCGAAAAAAATCAACAGAAGTCCTTTGTTTTAAATTTGTCGACGTTTCGCAAAATTTATTTGCATCTTCAGGACACTAAAAAGTTAAGAGAACAAAATACAATCAAAAAAATTTAACAAACAACTTAAAACATATATCAGTGGAATTCCACACATATACAATTGGTATAACTACCCTAATGTTAACAACTAAATAAAATATATATATATATATATATATATATATATATATATATATATATATATATATATATATATATATATATATATATATATATATATATATATATGTTATAAATTTAAGATCGCTTGTAAATAAAAATAATAAGGGATAAGGCCAGAATATAATCAGGATATTTTCTTATTCGCATTTAACGAAAAAAATCGACGATGGGGATCAGAACTAAATCAGTCATCAAACGATCTCAAATTACTAAAAGCACTTGGAAGAAAATGATAAAACACTTAACCTAGGGTTGGCAACTTTGAAAATAAAAAATAGGGGCGAGAGGATAAAAAGAGGCATAGGCGAAACCTTTTGGAAACGTAGCTCAAATGTCGAGAATGTACCAAAAAGTTATATAAACGGTATGCCATAAATATTTAAAACAAACAAAAATATTTCTACTCAAAACATATTAAAATAAAGCAAACCATTGTCAACAAAACTTTTTTTCAAGACATAAACTAACAGTAAGTAAACATAAAATTACATAAAAGACACAGATTAACAATTCTTTAAAGCATTGTGGCGATAAACGAATATTTTGTATATTTTGAAGTTGGTATGCAACAGTTTTCAATACGTGAGAGAAAAGAGGACAATCAGATCAAAAAGAGGACTGTTTCTGGAATAGAGGACGGTTGGGAACCCTATTTTAACCCCCTGTAGCTACGAATCAAAGCAGAAATGGATTGGTTGATATAAAAAATAAATCTTATTTTTACGTGAGGAACTTCCCCACGAGAGATGGAACATGTTTTTGAAACACCCTGTATATGTTTGTTTAATTTTAAAATAGGTAAAAAAACAAGCTAGATAAATTAAAGGAATTCACCATAAATTTAAATTATTTTCGGATTGTTTACATAAAAAAAAACTGGAGAACGCCGACTGAGATACCTGGAGATAACGGCACGGCAGCGGCGGCGGCGGAGCCTTCTGCCAGTGCTGTTTTTTTGAGTCTTTAATTATTTTATTCAATAATATATTTTGTATGTAGTTTGTATATCTATAAAATTTTTAAATAGAGTAAAAGCGCTTTCAGATGGAGCGGACCGCACGCACAGAGCGTCCGCACAGATGTTTTTTCAAGATAGCTCATCCGGACGGAGCATACGCGACCCACGTGAAATTGTTCATATAGGGGAAGGCGGGGCAGAACGGTGTACTTAACGTTTGATGGTTAACTGTCACCCCAATATTAACCAAAAAAAAAATATTTTTGCATCGTTGTATTTCTAAATATTGTAAATTAAGCCTCTCACTTTTTTTAACAGTTAAACAAATATTTTAAAGAAAATTATTATGAGAAACCAAAAAGGTGCATTTTGCCCCATTCCGCCCCAGGGGCGGGGCAGGATGAGGTTTTTATATATTTTACCAGAACTCATTAATATGTGGTTAGATTTCCTCTGAAATATAGCGTTAATGGTGAAAAATGGTAGTAATATTAAGTACACACAATTTTATTATAATTTTTTTTTATTAAAATAGGTAAAACCATTAGACAAAATCAGACAAAAATCCACTTAGGATTGGCACTGTTCACAAACAAGCACAAATTCGTGGTCTTCGCTATCAACGCCGGCACAGGCATTGTGTGCCCATTTGTGACACGCTGAACAGGCAATCCATCCTTCAACAGACTTGGACCAGTATTCACAACAGTAGACACAACAAGACATTCTACGTCACTAGTTTCATCTGAAGATGAGTCAGAATCTACCTTTTTAATCGACACTTTCTTTGAAGGGTTTCGCTTCACTTTCTTAATGCTACTTGCTTTACTCTTATTCTCTTTGCCAATAATTTTTCTTTTAACGCCTTCTTTCTTCTTTTGCGAAACCTTTTTTGCAGCTGCTGCTGCCTCTAGTTCTTCCATATACGGAGTTGAGGTCAATATTGATTACAATTAATGATTTTCTTAGATTAGATATTTTTGTAGTGGGAGGTGTTATTGAAATTGAAGGTTCCGTTGGCGTATGAGCTCTTGGTGCAGTAGAAGGATCATTGGCTGATGGAGGGGTATTGTTTGTAATATCCGTGGTTGCAGCTAGTAAAAAATCAACTTCGGTAAAAACGTTTTCATCGGGTGGAAAAATCCCAGTTTTGCGAAATCCGTTTATCGCCGTTTTCATGGTGGCTGCGTTTAAAAAGGCACTACCAAAAAGCGTGGAAATTTGAAGTATGGTTATTACCTTTCCTGGATTACAACGCAGCCATGTCCGAGTTTCATGTTCATAAAATGTACTTAACGGCTTCATGAAGGAAACGTCCAACGGTTGCAGTCTATGACTTGTGTGTGGTGGAAAGCATAATAATATTACACCGTTCTCACGTGCATGCAAAATTAGGTCAATATTTTTGGTATGGGTTGCATGTCCATCTAACAAAAGAAGCACTGGATTTTCTTTTGTTGCTTTAGAAAACGTAACAAATAGCTTAAACCTTTAGAATTTAAAAAAAGTTCAGAGGTTATCCATCCAGAATCACTAACTTCTACTACTGAACCAGGTGGCAAGCCTAACTCAAATGACTGTTGCTTCCGTTTTCTTGGAAAAATAAGCATAGGTGGGCATGTATGCTCCAGCAGCAGAAAAACAGATTTCAGCAGTTATGGTTTCTCCTCGTTCGGCGGAAGTTAGGGTGCCAACCTGAAGCTTTCCTTTCAAGGCTAAGATTTTGGTATGGCCCTTTGGATTCACAGTCAACCCCGTTTCATCACAGTTATAAATGTGTTCACCAGCTAGCTTATATTTGTCTACTGTTTCCAAAAGAAGGTGGAAAAATTGTGCTACCGCAACCTTATTAAATCCCATAGCTCGAGCTCCAGTAGTTGATTCTGGTTTTCGCAGCGTCAAAGTAGGGTGGCGTTTTAAAAAACATTGCATCCAATCCTTGCCAGCCATTTCAGATGCAGCATTAAATTTATGTTGACACTGATTTCGTATAGCTAATTGAAAAGCCAGACGTCTAAAGTCAATCATGGTTAATCCAAAAAGTCTTGATTCCATAGATTTTAAATAGTCTACAAGTTTTACAAGTTCTATCTCCTGTTCTTGTGAAAAAACGCTGCGAAATTTTCCAACAGATTTATCAACAACAAAGTTTTGTTGATCCTTTCTTTTTTTCGCGACATATCTTTCTAAAGTTGTTTGGGGCACACCATGTTGTTCTGCGTCCCTCCTATACCCCATTTGTCCACTAACAACGACATGAACTGCTGCGTTCATGGATTCGGTACTCCATTCCTGACGCTTTGTCTTCCGAACATAATTTCTAACCATCTGAAAAAATATTAAATTAAGTACGACATTTAACGGGGCAGAACAGGGTACCACATTGTACCCCACCCCATTCTGCCCCATGTGCAACGTTTACTTTAAAGTAAAATTTTTGAAAGAAAAACATGACCTAGAGTAAAGCTAAAGTGATAAAAAAGTTGCTAAACAATCGTTCTCTGCATTACATAACTGAAATAGATTAAAATTTAATAAGCAAATTACTTACGGTGGTTAATATGGACGCCAAAGTTACAAATCTACACGAAAATTCCAGATGATAACGAGACTAACCCCTTGCTCGATGGTTTTCGGACTACTGGCGTACCTAACATGCGACCGATGCTTTTAGGCGACCTTCAGTGCAATTTCGGATATTTTCGTTTATACGTTCGGTTTTTTAATGGCGTACCCCGTTCTACCCCGCTACCCCGTTCCGCCCCACCTTCCCCTAAGCTCATGGTACTTGCTTGAAGTCGCGGACGGTCCGTCATGGACGCTCGGTTCCATCTGAAAGCGCTGTAAGATAAGACCTAATTCGACTTTATTTATTTAAAAAATTAGAAATTTAAGTAATTAAGATTTAAATTATTAATTTAAATCTACATTTAAATGCCAATAACTAACCTGGAACATATATTGTAAATAATATATCTGCATTTCTTCATTTCTGAAGTTGTATATTTTTTCAGTGTATTCAATTCGCCACATTATTATTCTATGGCTTTCCATCATTGCAGCACGCTTATTAATAATTTTTAAATTATTAATATGTATATAATTTTAAATCTAATTCCCAGTTTTTTGTTGAAAGTTCTTTTTTTAATTATTTCTATGGCGGGAACTTTATTATTTTCATATTTGCCATAAATTAAGTTTCTTAGTAGTCTGGATAGTTCAAATTTCTGGATTTTTCTATATCGGATCGTTCCTTTCTTTGTCGATTCCCTTTATTTATGAGAGTAACGTAAGGAACTTCTGATAGCATGGCCACCTTTTTCAACACACTCGATTTGCCTCTCTTATCTTCTACCTATGTATCCTATATGTGAAGAAGCTTGTTTTACATCTTTAATTCCGTTCAGCAGTAGTAGCGCATAATTTACGTTTGAGCCGTTAATAACTCGACGAAAAGTTCATTACGTTTATTCATCTTTCATAAAATTTTCATGTTTTTATAAAAGAAATCACTAATAAATCTTTGTATATGAGATTTACCTACTTTGGCTAAATTACCTAAACTATTTCAGAGACGACAAAATTGCATCTTTCTAGTTAGGATGCATTATTAACATTATTACAAATAAAGGAAAGAGTATTTATTTTTATATAAAAATGCGATGTGGAATCCGAGCCCCTTGAGACTCGAGGCACTTGTTCCGCGGAGCCGCGGTGTATACGCCACTGGTTAAATAGACGCCCCAATCCTTTTGATGGTTCGCCAAAGGCTCCGGAAAAAACGGAGACAACGCCGTCCGGCTGGGCATAGGCTCGGCTCGAAGCTCAGACCCCGTCCAAATATGACGAGTCAACCTCAAATCCGCTTCAGGTTGACTCGTCTCGGGTGTCTCTCGCACTCGTCTCGACATATTTATACGCAGCTTTATACGTATATCGTACCAGGGGCGGATCCAGGATTTGGGAAAGGAGGGGGGGGGGCTTGACCCAAAACTTTACTCATAGTACGTACTCCGGAGTCGTTTCTGACAAAATAAATTAATAATGTCGTAATACATGGCTGAACATAAAGGGACTTGAACCCCCAAACCCCCCCCCCCGGGGATCAGCCACTGTATTGTACTTTTCTTTGTCATTTTTTGCTTGCGTGTTTCATTAAATGAAAACTTGTAAATGTTGATTGTTTCTGCCAATTTTTCATACATAATATTAAATATAAAATGTTTATACGAGGGATGTCATCATCATCATCATCATTTTTAGCTTATTCAACCATTTCCAATTATGGTGTAGCCTCCCTCACATACTATTTTTATAGTTGGACCCATTACCCATTGTCGTCTATTGTTGGCTGTGCGGGCCCAAGTTATCCCTGCTATATTTCCTAATATAATTTTGTCCCATCTCAGGTTCGGTCTTCTTCCAGATCTCTTAATTCCTCGTGAGTACCATGCTGTAATTTTTGTGGTCCATATGTTGTCGGTTCCTCTTGTCAGGTGACCTGCCCTTCGCCATTTGAAGGATTTGACTCTGTGGATGACTGTCTGTCTATGACTTGGTAATTCAAACTCTATGACTTGTTGACGGTTTCTCTTGGTTATTCTCAGCATATTTCGTTCCATTGAGCGTTGTGCGATCTGCAGTTTCCTTCTGATGCCCGTTTTAAGTGTCCAGGTTTCGCATATATAGGTCATGACTGGTAGTATGCATTGATCGAATGTTTACTTCTTTAGATAGGTGGCATTCTAGATTTGAATATGATTGAGTTTCTTTCATCAAGTATCCCATGCTAACTTAATTCTACTGATTCTGATAGTAAATAAAAAAAACTAACCAAATACTATATATATTCTTCTACTATTTCCAATATTGTGTTATTTTTCAGAATGTCTTTTCTTTCCACTAGTTCGTTGTACATTACTTTAGGTTTTTCTAAATTCGTTTCAAAACCCACTTTGTTGCTGGCTGTATTTAGTTCATTAATTTGTGCTTGTAGTTCTTCAGGACTTTCTGCAATTAGGACTATGTCACCAGCGAATCTTAGATGGTTAAGATATTCTCCATCTCTTTTTAATATTTTGTTGGTCCAATCCAGTTGACGGAAGATATCTTTTAATGTTTTTTTTTTAATGTTTCTATAAACAGTTTTGGGGATATCTCATCTCCCTGTCGTACTCCTTTGCCAGTTGGGAACTCTGGGATTGTTTTATATATACGAGAGATCTAAACAAGGTATAATAAAAGAAATAAAGGCTTTGAATTTGAGAGTTAAAGATTTTTTTATATAAATTTCCATAATAATTTGATATCTACATACTCTATAAAACATAATATATTTTACATATTGCTGAATAAAAAATATAGTACTAAAATATTTTGTAATAAAACACACCTACCAAAAATAAACACCACAATAGTTACAATACTTGAGACACATTGTGGAATAAAATATTAAAAACAAAATATTTTTAATACAAGAAAATTTAAAATTTTTAACTACAAGAATATTTAAAATCCTAAATACTAAATGCTTTGAGTACTTTTTTATTATTCATGATTTAATTAAATAGTACCTCAGTCTGGCTTGATTTTTAATTTAAAGGGTATCTACATCTCATATTTTCTTATATCCAAAATATTAAAGGTATATAAGTATTGTTCGTTATTTTCATTATTTCCCGTCTAATTCCTTAATAACGTCCTCTCCTTTTGAAATTCTCTAAAATTATACCCTCCCCGAGTACGAAGTAGATTCGAATAATTGCTCTAATAAGGATGTAAATCCGAAATTATTATGAAACTTTTCCTGTTGGTTGTTTTCAAACAGGATTAAGGAAACAATATTTTATGTTTTCGTTAATTGGTGGTTATTATTTTGCTAATTTCAGTTCTTTTGTGTCCTTAACTACCAAACGTTCGTGAAAGATAAAACTTTATAGCCGTTCTTCATACAGCATTCAGTCGCTTAAACCCCAATTATTTTAAAAATTCACCCAATTAAATTAACCTGTAAGTTAATCAGGAAATTTTATTGCTATTCCCAATTAATAAATTAAATTGTTTGAAAAGATAAGTTGCCTTGACTCACTGTAGCCCTAATTTTATTTTAAGCTAAAATTAAATAAAGGAATATATTTTTCTCTTTAACTTTTTGCTATACGGCTTTGCTAACAGGGATTGGGAGATCCTTGAGACAGCAATATTGTACTTGATATTTTTCTTTAAAGGTCCTCTTATTTGTATAAGCGGATATGTAGTCATGATAATAAATATCTTTCTATTGTTATCGCCTTATACCTTTCTGCTTTATACCTTTGCAGTTTTCCTTAGACATTAATTTTTGTATTAAAAAAATATTATTTTAAATTTACTTAGTTTCTGGCAAACTTTATTTATAAAACGTCCATACAATATCTGACCTGATACAGAAATAACTTGATATAAATAATTTATAATATTGTTATGGTCATTTGGCGGTAACAATATACAGGGTTATTCAGTACATACGACATGAAGTATTGTAGCTAAACGATTAGATTTTTACAAATTGTAAGTTTGGGCTTCGTTGTAGGACTATTAGAGCTACAATTTAAAAATATTTTTAGAGTGTCCCAAATTAATAAAAAATATCAAAGTTGTATTTTTTACAGGATGTTCTATTAAAATAAAACAAGTTATTGCTGTTTAAGGCTAGTAATTATTTAATATAAATTTTTCACACTCTGTTTAAGGTAGTATTATTTTTATTATTGCAACACAATATCTGATCAGTAAATAAACTTCAGTAAATATTTAGCATTAAAAACTTTCAAACCTAGGAGAAATGCAACCTTAAAACTTTTACTACAATTTCACAAAATTGAATATATTGCATAAACGGTATACCGGGTGCGTCTCAAAAATGGCTCACCCCTATAACTTTTTTATTTTTTTCAGATAAAGCAACGAGATTTGGTATGTTAGTATATGACATAAATTAAGATTGATTGACATATTCAATTGATTTCGGTCACTTCCGATTTCCCCGGAAATGACTACAACTTTTGGTTTTTATATGACATCCTTGGTGTTTTTTTTTTACTTTATTCGATAGAAAATGACACTCTGAATAGAATGACATATCATATGTCGACTTTTGACATTTTCGTATATGGTTTATTTAAAATTATAACATGCGGTTCGGAAAAAGACACTAAAAACATTAGACGATCAAATCTATTTTTCCAAGGCTCCTGATT